GCCCATAACCGGTTATAGAGTACCTATACCGGTCCTATTATTTTCGACCGGGACCGGGACCGGTTACGCCGGGACCGGTTATGGCCGGTTATGAGAAATGTGAGGACCGATTGGGACCGGCCCGGGACCGGCCCGGGACCGGTTTTTGGCCATCTCTAGCGGGGTGTGACATACATCCATCATTATTAAAATATTATATAAATTTATCATTCTAATACACGTTTTAGAAAGAATTTACATAAAATATTAACAATAATTCAATCTAATTGGTGAAAATCAATAATAAAAATCTCTCAAGTTTTAGAGAATTCTTTAAATTTAAAGTTTTCTTTTAATTTTCTCTATTTCAAAGAATAATACAAAGAATATGTTGGAGTGAAATAGAGAATAAAAATCTAATTTTCTCTATTTTAAAAAATCTCCGATCATCCTAAACATTCACCATCCTAATTCTAGATTATTTAGGAGAAACGGAAAGTTAATTTTTGAAACTATAAATATTTTGAGAACCATGAAAACCAACTATCCATGATGAATACATCTAAATATTCAACAATATCATGCATTTTCATCATTGCATATCAATCACGATATTCTCATGAATAAGTGGTATTCAAAATATTTATTCTAAAATGAAACTGCCCCTTTAATAAAATAACATTCTATTTTTCTAAATGAACCTTTTAACACTAGAAGAAGTTCTCTTTCCTAATACAATAATGTCTCAAAATCTATCAAAAGAAAGGTATTGTAAAAAAACCCGTCCAATTCCTGGGTGCTACACATCTCAAGTTCTAAGAAAATTGATGTGGGATTGTTCTTACAGCATTAAGTTATCTTACAGTCATCAGTCCTTTTTCTTCTCTAGTAACCAGAACTACCTTGGTCTAAACCTCCATCAAGCAGCTCCGGTTGTTACTAGTCTAAGCAAGAGTTATTTAGGAGAATATCTCTCTAACAGATTTCTTTTAAATGCATGATCTTCCACAACATTTTAAGGCACTCTAGGTCAGGAATATGTTAGACAGACACATTTTTAAATCTATCATAAAGTCGTGCATTTTAAAGAAATATGTCAGAAGGTTATTCTCCCTAATAACCCATCTACTAAGCGATACCCTCCGTACCTTTCATTTGTGAGTATAAGTTGAATGATCACCGAGTGAATCTCATGGGTGGCTTAAAATTATTTAGGAGAATAACTTTGTAACATATTTTTTTTAAATGCATAAACTTCCAACACATTTTGAGGCATTTTTGTGTTAGAAGAGGCGTTCCTAAATCTATCAGAAGGTCATGCATATAAAAAAAATCTGTCAAAAGGTTCTTCTCCTCCTAAATAACCCGTCTACTAAGCAATATCCTCTGTACCTTTCATTTGTGAGTAAAGTTGAACGATCACCATGTGAATCTCAGGGATGGCTAGATGGGATGCATCTCCTCCCACAAAATAATGTACTATGTTGTTGATCTCCATCCAACTAAACGCTGTTTGCTTCTTGACTTGGTTTTCCTTCATCAAACGTCTCACTTCAGTCACTTTTCTCCACAAATTGGATGCGGCGTAAATATTAGACAACATAACATAAGCCCCAGAGTTTTTAGGATCCAATTTCATGATCTGCTGTGCAGCTAATTCTGCTAGCTCAATATTCAAACTAAAACGACAGCCTGCAAGAAGGGAACCCCAAACTCCCAAATCGGCTTCAAATGGCATCTTCAGAATCATCTTATAAGCATTCTCAACGTGACCAGATCGACCCAAGATATCAATCAAGCAAGCATAGTGCTCAGACCTAGGTGCCAAATTGTAATTGTTTTTCATGGAGTCAAACCAATATAAACTCTCCTTCACCATACCTGCATGACCAATACAAGTGAATGAAGTCCAAGGTGAAAGGTTAGAAGCTTGTTCTTGTGCAGTACCCTTTTTCCAAAAAAAAAAAAAGGAAAAGGGCAAAAATTGTAACAAATTTGGTTTACTTCCTTTTTAGTGTGACAGAAAAAATCTTACCAAAGGGTCATTGGCCAGCAGTACCTAGGGTATCGGTAGATCCCAACCTCCCTGGGTTCATGCTCACCAAAAGCGAGGAGTGTGTGTTAGTTTTGCCATATATAAAATTTACATACTCGAAATTTTTTCCTCAATAAATGCAACATAGTCCAAACTTTCCTATTTTGACCGGTAAATGCTGAACTTGTAACATTTAAAGACACAGATACCCGAAGGGTATGAGCACCCAAAATAGGTACAAAATAGGAAATTTGTTACATTAAATAGGAAAGATTGATACTATGTCACATTGATCCAGAAAAAAAAATATTTGTTACACCAAATGGGCATTTTAATGCATTTTGCCCGAAGGAAACAACAAGGAATCATAGAACAAACTTTCACATACCTGCATGACCAAAAGCAGAGAGTAAACTAAGAAAAGTTATCCCATCTGGTTCAATTCCATGCAATTCGATCTTTTTGAAAAAGCAGAGAGCTTTCTCGTAGAGTCCATGCTGTGCAAAAGCAGCAATGATTGTGTTCCACGAGACAATGTTCGGACAGCTAATATGTTCAAAAGCTGCCTCAAAGTCGGTAAGACATCCGCATTTGCTGTACATAGTGATGAGAGCGTTTCCCACAGAAACATGTGTGTCAAACCTATTTTTGAACACAAGTGCATGAGTTTGTTTGCCTTGTGTTAGTGATGCAAGGCTGGAACATGCAGCAAGGATAGAAACAAGGGTGTATTGATCTGGTCTTAAGCGACTACGAATCATATCTACGAGTAGTCTTAGTGCTTCCTCACCTCTTCCATTTTGAGCATAACCTGAAGATATATAAATTGTTATTTTTGTTTTTGGTTAACAGATTCACACGAGCGTTTCATCATGCTCCAATTTACCTGTTATCATAGCATTAAAAGAAACATCATCTCTGGATTGAATTTCTTCGAACAACATCCTAGCATCTTCCATCTTTCCTTCTTTGCAGTAACCGGTAATCATAGCCGTCATAGCAACTACATTCTTATATGGCATCCGACCAAAGACTTCTCTAGCCTCATCAACTTGATCACTTTCCACATACGCACTGATCATCACGGTCCAAGAAACTTCATTTCGGCCTGGCATGGACTCAAATAAGTCCCTTGCTTTCTTAATGTCCCCTTTCTGTGCATACCCATCAATCATGGCCGTATAAGATATCACATTTCTCCTTGGCATTTGTTCGAAAAGCTTAACAGCTTCCTCAATCCTTCTATGCCTAATAAAGCCCGAAATCATAACATTCCAAGAAGCTATATTTTTCTCAGGCATCTCGCTGAAGTACACAAATGCAGCATCTATCCTACCATTTTCGACACAACCAGCGATCATCGAGTTCCAAGATACTACATTTCTTATAGGCATTAAATCAAATAATCTCTTGGATTCTACAATATACCCATTTTTCCAATAGCCAGTAATGACCGCGTTCCATGAAACAACGTCTCTTGTAGGCATTTCGTCGAACAGTTTGCGGCCAAGGTCCATTTTCCCAGCACGGCAGAGCTTACCGATTCTGATATTTGAAGTGTAAACATCTCGACATGAATGGTAATAACGATTGATGCAAGGAATAGATGAATTGATGGAAGAAAGATTTTGAAGAGTTACTCGGAAAAGCCAAAAGACAAGCATCCGGGTATGGGGTAAATTACCAACAACTGGCAACTTATTAAAAAAAAACAAATTATAAGTATGCTACAATTTCTACTTATTTATTATTAGAACTGAATTCTTTAAAAATAAAATATATCTTGATTTTAATATTTATTTATTTTAATTAATTTTATAATATAATTTTAAAAAAATAATAATATTTTTATATTTAAATAAAATATAAATTTTAAGACCCCATCAAAATTTATATTAATATTAGTATCAAAGTAACAATTTTAAAAGATTATCAGGTTTTTTATAATTTTTAAGTTCAGTTTTTCATTATAATTTAATTTAGTTTTTGTAAAGTAATTAATTTATTTCATGTTTAATAATATAATATTTTTTATAAAGACAATTTCTATTTTAAATTTTTAATTACTAGAAGAGTACTCGCGCAATGCAGCGAGATACATCGTGTTTTTAATATTTCATTTTATTCTTTATCTCAGTCGATGTTATAGTATGACTTTATGTGATTTTGAGAAAGCGATGATGTTTTTATTTTTGAATAAAATATATGTTTGACGATATCATAAAAATTTGACAAAAATATATCGATATT